GATTAGTTCGTCGCGGCGAAGATGGAGTTCGCTGCGGCGAAAGGTCGCGATTCTATATAGTCGCTGGAGGGTTCAGTGTTGCGAAAATTAGAAAAATCTGAGGTAGAGAGAGAGGCTCTGCTAGGGTTTCGGTATTTTGGCTTGGAGGGGGCATTTCTAAGGATCCATTACCTCAAGTAAGTGATTTTAACCTCTAATCTATCTTCTTGATTGGAATTTATAAGGATTTATGGTGAAACCCTAGGATTTTCTAGGTTGTGTTGGAACTGAGGTTTTTGACCGATTGTTTTGAGTTTAATTGATTGCATTGGGTTAGTTTAAGTATTTAATCGGTGTAGTTTTCTTGGATTTAAAGAATCTTGAATTTTTTAGAGCTAGGATTTATGGAAATGGGAGGTTTGTGATTGAGGATGATAATGTGGAGGTTGATTTTGAGTTTTGTGAATTGGGTTATGTTAAGGAGGGTTAAATTGGATGTTTAATCGGTTTAGATTTGTTGTTGGAACCTTAATTGCTCAAATGGGATGTTGGAGGTTGAATTCCTGTAGTGGGTCCTTGAGGTTTGAACTCTAATTGATGCTTGGAAGGAGACTTGATGTTTTAATAGACTTTGAGGACTTTGGAGTGTTGTTTTGATAGTTATACCCTTTGAGTTGGGTAGAGTTTTGATGGGAGATAGGAATTTTGTGTCCCCAAGTGTTGTTTTGGCCACATTATTAGTTTGAAAGCTAATATATGATGGTTGTGTGTTTGTGTGCTTGTGTAGACAGGTTGTGAGTCTTGGTGGTGCACGGGGCCACATCGTTGGTTTGTTATTCCTTGCTCAGGCGAGAGGTAACCACTTTCCAATCCTTAGTACTTGCTTCTGTGGTATTGTGAGTAGATTTGTGTTTTGTGCTCCAAATAGTAATTGTGTTCAAACTATATGTTGTATATAAAAAGGGAAAACCGTCTTGTGGGGTTTTGATTTATGATGAATGAATTTTGGAATTGTGAAAGATATGCCACTGAATGAGGTTAATTGTGAAATGACTATTACTCTTTGATTATGATTTGAGCATGATGCATTGATTGGGAATTGGTGAGAGTTTTGTCTGTTACTACCACGTGGTAAGGCCTCCATTAATGCATGATGGTTGGCTCAGTACGTCCCCCATAGTGAGGGATAGGCCTTTTGGCTCCCTACGTCCCCCAGAGTGAGGGATAGGCCTTATATGGCTCCTTACGTCCCCCATAGTGAGGGATAGGCCGGCTTCGGCTCTTGAAAATCCCCCAAAGTGAGGGATTGGGTTAATGGGATTTGTATCATTTCACTCGCATGATTTATTGTGGCTATCTTGTCATTATATTACTTGTGAACTGCCCCACTTGACACCTCACGAGCACCTATTTAGTAGTACCTAGTATTGGAAAGGCTGGTTACTGGGACTTTGTCTCATCCCATGGTTTACAATGTTTTCAGGTGAAGGTTCCGGGCGTGTGCCTTCAGGAAGAGACGCAGAGGCTTGAGCTTGGTTAGCTTTAGGCCTCTAGCATTTGTAGATGTATGACTAGTATATATTGCCACATTTAGGGCTGCTTTTTGATATATTTGATTACCCGGCCTTGTTGTAAACTGGAGAGAATGTATCTCCTTATTTTGGTTGGCCGGAGGCCATTGCTAGTGTTTGATGAACTCTGGATTATATGGTTGAAAACTATTTAGATGGGCTGATTTTGATGTATGTTGTTACCCGGGCCAGAGGCTCGGAGGCCCAGTGGATTATGAACTAATGATTTCGGTTGCATGCAACGGTCTTTGAGTTGGAACCGAGTTTACATGTTAATTCAAAATTTATGCAAATTTCTTCCTACTATGGTAGTTCATTTAACAGATTTTCTTTTTTTACCATAGTAGTGATTTGTGATGAGTTATAACGTTTTTAAGGTTAAGGGTCTTACAGCTGCGGCATCTAATGACTTTGGAGGGAAGATAATTTTCATGGAGGCTTAAGCTTGTTAGGGAGGCAACTTGGGGGGAGCATGGAAAAGACTAGAGCCTTGGGCCAGCACTTAAAGACCACAAGAGAGTGATACTCCATTTATCTTTTTAATTCAAGGACTTGAGATTATTTAGTTTTAAATAATTTTAAGTTGTATTTTTGTTGAGACAATTTAGTTCTAGATTGTCAATTTTATTCTTGGATTGGATTGATATTTGGATCTTATTGGTGCCAAGATACTTGTTGGAATTTATGTTTAGAACCTTTGCATTGTTAATTGAATTTATAATTGAGTTTTCGTTATGAGTTTAATTATCAATGTGGTTTGAATTGCAAAATTTGGGTTCTTTCACCTCTTAATTGTTTAATTAAGTTGGTTAATTGTCTAATTGTTTAATTGGATAATTTCAAACGTAATTTCCAAAATTAAATTGAATTATCTTCATTGGTTTTAATAGGCTTAATTAACTAACCTTACACTGTTATGAGTTCTCTAATGGTTTAAGGGTTTTTGAAGTTGAGGGTTTCCTTTATTTCAAGTAGGTAATTAAGTTTATTAATTCCACTCTCTTATCACCTCCCTTTGGTCTAATTAACTCATTAAGGCTATGAAAGTTAAATTCATGTGAATCCTAAGTTGTCCCCTCTACCGTACCTGAAGAGAAATTTCTGAATTTTTACTTGCTAATTCTCTCTGCTTCCTGATTAATTTTCTTTATTCATTAATTTTATCTTCCTTCAAAAAACCCCCCAAAAATTGCATTGCATTCATTTAGTTTAATTTAATTTTCATATATTTTTAGGACATTTGCATCTTGCATTTAGAGTTAGAATTTTGTATTTTAGTTTAGGTCCAATTTATTGCATTTTTTTATCACCTGAATTTTTACCTAAAGAAACCCATAACTTGCTCCTTGGAAGTAATGACCTAGGTCGACCCTAAACTACAAATTAGTTGGGACCTAGTTTAATTGAGTGCTTTAACGACAGAGGCATCATCAGGCGCCGCGGCGGATTCCTTTAGGCATCGCGGCGGATTACACAAAATGGCTTTGCTTCGAGGGCTTAGGTGTCGCGGTGCATGTGACAATCAGCTGCGGCGGATTCGGTCAGGCGCCGCGGCGCCTTTTACAGAGATGCACTCCTTCCTCTCTGCTCGAGCCGCTGTGGCGTTTTCTCCCATAAGCCGCAATGGAGGACATCTTTTCAGCTCTCCACTTCTGGTCTCTATTTCTTACTCGCCTCAGGCCTTTTTCTTGCAAAATTGACTTTCAAATAGAATAAAAGAGTGCTAAAACAGATTAAATAAGTAGGAAATTTGAGAGGTTATCAGAGAGCCAGAGACGAAGCACGAAAGCAGGGGTGATATCGGATTACCCTGAAGTCTGAAGCCACAAACCAGACACAACGCAATGACGGCAGGTCAGTGACAGAAGATAGTTAAGCTCACTCTCGGAGAAGGCAAGAAGCTTAGTGAGAAAGAAAGAAAGGATGTGGCGTCACTGTGGTGTGCGATCGAGGGCAAGAGGTAGAGAGACACTGAGAGTTGAGACTGAGCCACTGAGCTGAGAGTGAGAGAGAGAGAGTCTGTGAAAGTGTGAAGTCAAAGTGTCAACTGAAGATATGCTGCATTTTGGGTCTGGGAGTGAGGGAGGGAGTGACTGAAATATTTTGAAAAATGGGAGGGAAATAAAAAATAGTAAAAAAAAGGATAAAAATTTTTAAAAAAATTATATTAGGTTATTTGGTTATAACCAAAAAAATTTTATGCACACTAAACCGAACACCAAAAACCAAAATAACTGGAAAAAAACAGAAAAAATAAAAACCGAATTAACCGAACTGAAAAAACTGAATTAATTTCGGTTCGACTCGGTTTTCGGTGTCGATTCAGTTTTGCTCAACCTTAGAGTATCCTCTTACCCAAACTGTAAGAGACTAACCTCTTGGGATATTGTTAGGCACCGTAGCAGGGACTTGTCCCAAAAATATTTTTCTCCATACACACCTCCGCAAAGATCAAACAAGGAATATATGCTTAAGATGTCCAAGTCTCTTCTACCTAGACCAACACTTGTCTGTATGAACACAACAATTCAATGAAACAAAAACCTTATATTGAATGAGAGTAAAAGTAATAAACCATGGCTCGAAGTGAAATTCTATTATCACAAAAAATGTTACAATAGTTAAATGATCCAATTAATATCAAAACTCATAAATAGATCACACATACTATAAAACAACAAATAGAAATATAGGAAATTAATATTTCTAGGTAATAGAGATATAGATAGAGACCACTAAACTTGAATCACTTTCGTCGTCAATGAAGATCAATTGACTGCCAATAATCCTTTCTCTCTTTTTTTTCCCTTCCTTTCTTCCTTTTTCACAAAACTAAGAAAGAATGAGACATAAAATAAAATTGGACATAAAGAATTTGGACCATTATATTCTTCACATATTTAAAAATCTTTAATTGAAAATTTTATATCTATATTTAGATGGTACAAATGTCAATGTGGCGATGAATACCAAAACTAGTTCTTCGATTAGTAACTCTTTCTTCAAACAAGACAAATTAAGCAGACCATCTTGTGGTAAGTATATAATTAATGGTCCTTTTGTCAACGACAAGCTATCCCAATAACAATGCCAACGCTTAAACTCAATATTGGCATTAACATATTTGTGTTCATGCATTTGTTGAATTGTATGGAATTAGGGGGAAAATGAAGAAAGATAATTGTCCTTTCTATTTTTACGGTTAAGTCTAAGTTAAGAATGAGAAGTAGTCCTCCCTAACATAAAATTAGATTTGTGGAAATGTGTTCAGTGAATGCACAAAGAGCTAGAGCATAGTTCAATATGGTTACAACTGAGCTTAAAGGTGTCTAAATGAGACATAACATGTGCTTCACATTAACATTTATTTTATTTGTGGAAAAACAAAGCCATGAGAGACACCAATCATGTCTCGTGAGCACTCTCCATCTCCATCAATTGTGCAACATTTCACATGGTTGGCCGAGCATGAGAGTTTGTTTGCAGGCATTGAAGAGCTAGATGCCAAATCAAAGCCAATTTCTTCAATTTTTGATGAGTTGTTGATGATAAACGAGGGTCTAGAATCTCTTTGAAGTTGATCTGATTCATCCCACTTGTTCTGTTATAGGATATTAATTCACCGAGATGCTCACCCATAAGCACTTCAATGGCCAAAACACCAAAGCTATACACATCAATTTTTTCTGTCACTACCATTATGTATGCAAGCTCTGTACAACGCAAAACAAAGTGATCAATTGGATTCTTGATAAAATGATGAATGACATTTTTTTAAGCACTTGTATCCTCCTATTAAAAGCCTATTCAAGACATGGTTAAGCACTAAATGTGAGCTTTTCTCTAACAAGGATTGAAACCTTTGTCCATCAGTTTATAAAGGATTAGCCCCTTTTACTAGGCTTTCCCTCTTAGTTAAAATGATTACTTTTCTAAATTATACAACAAATCAAAAGTTTTGGACAAAGTTAAACATGGTTTCATATTGAACTCACCAGGAGCAGCATAGCCATATGTGCTAACAAATGTTATCCAAATTGATGAATCAGGCTTCAAGAATCTCGCTGTGCCAAAACCTGAGACATAGGCTTCAAGATTTGAAGACAGCAAAATGTTTTTGCTGGATATGTCTCTATGAATAATTGGTGGATTACAATCATGATGCATGTAAGAATTAAGATAAAGCCTGTGCCACACCCTTGATAATATTAAGCCTCTTTGACCAATCCAACTCTAATGCTTCTTTATCATTTCTAAGCATTTTAGCTAAGCTCCCTCTTTCCATGTATTCATAAATCATAAATGTGTGCAACTTTTGTGAACAAAACCAGTACAACTTCACAATATTACGATGACATGTTTCTGTCAAGGCTTTGATCTCACTCTTAAAAGCTTTTATGCTCTCAATATCAAGGGTATCAGCTTCACTAACCAACTTTTTTATAGCAAATACTTTATCCTCTCTTGGTAATATCAGCTTGTAAACCTTTCCAAGAGCTCCCTCCCCAATGCAGTATTTTTTAGCAAAGTTCCCTGTTGCGTCAATTATGTCTTCATACAAAATTTTGCCATCAAAGTGCCATATGGAGAGTATATTTTCTTTACAGGCTCTTGTGTTATGTTCTACAGCTCTTGAGTTTTCTTGTGGAGAATAATAAAAATCCCAACCATTCCCAACAAAATCGATGCTGCAGCCAAAGAAGAAGTGACAGCTATAACCATTTTCCTTTTGTTAGTTCCACCATGTGGGTTTATAGCGAAGATGTTACAAGGTTTTAAACCTTGGATCCTCCCACATAAATTTTTATTGTTACCTAGATCAACTGGCTTAGAAGAATTAAAAATTCTATTGTCTGGCACAAGACCTTCCAAATTGTTATGAGAGATATTGATGCTTGACAAGCTTAACATTCTTGCTAAGAAATTTGGGATAGGACCTGAGAAATTATTGTGAGACATGTTCAAGCTTATCAACTTGTTGAGTTTACTCAGATCAACAAGGATTTCTCCAGAAAGTGAATTGTAACTTAGGTCCAAAAAATCTTGCAAAGCCACAAGATTTCCTATTTGGTATGGGATTTTGTCACTAAAGTAATTATTGCTAAAGTTTAAATTCAGCAACTTGTAGCAATCACCTATCTAATAAGGGATAGGTCCCCTTAATCTATTCATTGACAGATCTAAAGATTCCAAACTAGAAAGCTTCCCAATGCCTTCTTTTACTCCTGAAAAATTGTTGCCACACAGATGCAGATGATATAAGTTAGAGCTAATTCCAACTTGAGCAGGAATTTTTCCAGATATTCGGTTTGAAGACAAATAAAGCTTTCGTAGATGTTTCAACTGAAAGATCTCACTAGGTAAAATCTCCCTATTGAATTTCCAGCCCTGATAAGAGCTTGTAAACTCTTGCAGGCACCCCAATTTGCAAAAAGCTCACCTTGCAGCCTATTGTAGCTCAGGTCCATGTAGGTAAGATTGGGATACTCCCAAACCCTTATCTACACATCCTGTCAATTGGTTATGTTCAAGACGAACTCTAACGAAAGATGTGCAATTTCTGAGGCTCATAGGGATTGGACCAGTGAAACAATTGTAAGCTGCAGCGAACTCAAGTAACTTCCCGTCTTCGCATACCTGTGGCGGTAAGTGGCCGATGAAATTGTTATCAGAGATAACAAGCATGGTAAAAGAACGATTTTCAAATCCTTGTGGTAAAGGACCGGATAAATTGTTCATAAACAAGTAAACTTCTGTTAGATTGGTTAGTGTACCAAGAGTAGGAGGAATTGCACCTAAGAGATTGTTTACGGTCAAAGACAGAATGTTTAGATGTGTACAATTCCCCAAAGACGGGGGTATAGATCCATAAAAGCTATTTTGATATAGAGTTAGAACGGTCAACTGCTTCAAATTCCCTATTTCATTTGGAATTATGCCTCCAAGGAGCATGCCTTGAAGCACAAGATACTTTATACCAATCAAGCTTGTTTTGGGTTCATCAGATCCATCAGGGAATAGACGAGGGTATAATATCCCAATTATGTCATTCTGTGAAAGGTCAAGCTCATAAAGTTGAGTAAGATTAGCAAGAGAAAGAGGTATAGTGCCGTTGAGATGATTACGATTGAGGTCAAGGAACTGTAGTTTTGAGAGGTATCTAATTGTTTCTGGTATGGGGCTAGTGAGCTGATTAAATTTGAGATTAAGAAGTTCAAGATTTGGGAACGCTGAGATTCAAATTTTTAAGGGTGGCTTTGAGACCAGTGTTGTTCAAGTTGAGTTTAACCACACTTCCTAAAGAATCACACTTTATTCCATGCCATGAACATGGGGTTTGGGCTGAAGTGGAATTGGCTTGAGGCTGAGAGACCCATTAATCCACGATTGGCTGATATGGGAGACTTCGCTTCCATCTGAGAAGAGCTTCAGTTTCTGTAACTCCTGAAGTGAGGTGGCAATGATATAGTGACCAAAAACCCAAGCAAGCAATGTGAATTGCAAGTAAGAGAGAAATTGTATTATGAGCCATTATTGTTCAGAATATGTTTGTTTATTTGTTCAAACCAGAGTTCCCTTTTATATTTACCTCATGCACTAAGCATTTATCTCTTCGTTTAGATTAGTAAACTAGCGATTTAACCTGTTCTCTCTAACGTTTATATTTTATTAATCAAAATTTTTGACGTGTTTTCCATATTCTCTTATTTTAATTTATTGTCACATATGCTCCCAAACGTGTCCATGTCTAATGATTAAAAATTGGTTTCTTTGTGCAAGTTGTCAAAACTATCCTTGATTGCCAACAAACTCCTTCAATTTATATGATGGATATTCAGAAGAAAATGGACAGGATAAAATTTTGGGTAAAATAGCATTCACTACCTTTATCTATTTACGATACATCCAGCTCCAGCGCTTTGATATTATTTTCATGGTGCTTCTACTATCTTAATCTTATTTATAATGCATCGAAGATCTCTGACCCATAAATAGGCTTAGGTTGCTATATGTAACTTGATAATAATATCAGGAAGTATTAAATGTATAAGGAAAACGATATTAAGCTATTGAATGCTACTTTATCCTTCTTCTTTTTTTTAAATTAGCAAGTATGGTGTTGCCTTTCTTCTCTTCTTTCCTAATTCATTTTAAAATTAGCACTAACATGTAGCCTAAGAAATTATATACCTTTTGCCCGAACGATTTAAAAAAAATTAGATTATGATCACTTGACTATTAATAATGACATAACGAGTGACGTGGGATCTAAGTGATTAGTTATCCAAAGTCAAGTTGGACCAGAAGATTGCGTATGCTCTTGAATGAAAATAATGAAAATGCGACGAACAAAAATGATTAAGGAAAAATCATAAAAAGAGGACATTAAAAATTAAAAAATTGCCTAGAGGGACCTTTCATTTGCTTATCAATTATTCTCAAAACTAATACTAATGTTATAACAGGTCCTTGTTTATAATTTTTCTACTTTCAATATTTTTTTTTTTTTGCAATTTTTTCAGTGATCAAACTTTATGTGTAATTTTTAATGTTGTCATTTACAATCAGTGAGCATATATATACATATATATACACACACACACACATATGTATAAATGTTAAATGACAATTTTACTCACCAATTATTTTGCAAGGACCACTAGCTATCGTAATTAAATTATTCTTTAAGAGTAATTAATATGGCCTATGAACTAATCGATATTCCTTAGTTGCAAAGGGAAATATAATTTAGCCAAAGGATATCTCTTAGATTCCGTATCATGATTTAACTTTAGGAAAATTAAAATTTCTAATCTTTCAGGTTTTAATACAATTATAACTTGGTCCTTCAACTATGATTTGGTAAGATTTAATCTCTAAACTTTTGTTTCAGTTAAAAACTTAGTCCCTAATCTTTTCTTATTTACTAAATTAATCCTTGTCATGTGTAGCTCATTTTGGATAATCAATTAATCATTCTATGTGACAGAAGAGGTTTCTTATGTCATGAGGCTTCCAACTAATATTGTGTTTGGCTCGACGGAGGGAAGAGAAAGGGAGAGATTTTAATCAAGGGAAGGGGAGGGTAGGAAAGGGGAGGATAACTACAAAGGAGAGGGGAGGGATGGGGAAGAGAGGGGAGAAATTTTAATGATCTCCTGTTTGGATTGATTGAAGGGGAGGGAAGGAAGGAATTTTAATAATATCTTATTTTGTTTTAATAAAAAATTGACTATTTTAACATTATAAAATTTCAATGAATTTTCTCACTTTTTTTATTTTATCAAGATATAACTATATATATAATACAATTCACCAATTTTGACTTACAAGATACAGTTACATACTTAATAGGATATCAAGATAAAAAGTCGTGAGTGATAGATTTCAATCAGAGAAAAAACATTAAGGTAAAATAAAATACCGACGGCCTCTTAGAATTAGAAGGAGGAAAAAAAAAGGATTCAACAATACTCACTAATTTTGGAAATAACTATCTCGACAACCTCTTACTAGATGCTAAAAAAAAATCTCTTATGTAGAAATGTTTATGACTGATTAAGGGTTAACAAATCGAAAGGATACATGAAGAATTAAAATATTTTAGTTAGGCTAATATTGAAATTTAAAATTTTATCTCTCATCTCCCCTCCAAAAGACCCCACTTTTAGAGGGGACGCTGGAAGAAAAGAGGAGAAGAGAAGAGTCCCTCTCCTCTTTAAAAAATATCTTAACCAAACAAGAGAAGAGGAGCAACTCACCTCCCTTCCTAAAAAATTGCACCAGCCAAACAAGAGGAGGGACTCCCTCCCCTCCCCTCCAAAAAACCCATATCAAACATAGTGTAAGAGTTTACTTGAAAGCCACGTAAGTGTAGCCTCTCATGCTAGGATGAGGTTATACATAATACAAAGGGTTAATTTATTAAATGGGAAAAGGTTATATATTGATTTTTAACTAAGTCAAAAGTTTAAAGGTTATTGAATTCTAAATGAATTAAAATTTGAAGGATCAAAAGTTTAAAAATTATTGAGTCGTAAATGATTTTTATCTGAATGATAATGTTGTAAGAGATCAATAATAATTATAAAATTAAAAATATAATATATATATATATTAATTAAATTATATTATTTTAATTATTATGGGTTGACTCCGCCATTTCGATCATAATTAGATTCCTAGACGTTAGACATACAATTTAAGGCCTGAAAATTGTTGCTTGACACACATTCCGATAAATTTTACATTTTATATATTGATGATTATATTCAAGTATTAATGGATTCAACAAATCATGATTTAGTCTTTAAAAGACTTGAGTGAATAGAAAGACTGGCATCTAACTAGTAGATGACATGCTCACCTCTCTTGGACTGTTATTAAAATACAAATTCTCTTAATAAAATAACTCAATCGTGCACAAAGAATTCGTCAAATGAAAGAATTTGAATTCCAACAATTATTTACATTTTTCAAGCTTCATAATGTTTTTTTTTAATAAGTCACCACCCAAACAGCCCAAAAAAGTTTAAAATATCGGTTTCTGATTCCTCTCGTTAGCCGAGTAATGAGCTAATAATTTAAAGGAGATGTTTGGATATTCTAAAAATCACTTTTCAAAAGTATTTTTTCGCAAATCGAGACAAATTCCTCTACATATTTACTTCGTATACTGTAAAAACACTTTTAAAACTATAGTTTTCATCTTACCCAAACTTTCCATCAGTTACACTAATTTTTATTATCTTAATAATCATCATATATTTGACATTTTAGTCATTTCCTCCGTCCTTCGTTGAAATGGTCAACCTAAGTTTTCCATATATAATAATTTTGGTGACAAAACTTATTATTTCATAAAGTTGAATCTGTGTTTCCATGAAAATATAAAAATAACGGTCCAAACAATCAAAGACACAAATACGTCACTTACGTGTCAGGGAAATTAATTAATCATCAGCTTTCATTTTCCAGGGACCTTCCTTGATGCTTTTAATCGACATGCCGAAAATTTAATTTATTTCAATATTCTGCGAAAGGACTTAGAAAACTAAAACTTTAATATGTTCCATGGTCGATAACATTTAATCAAGCAACCGCATATACTCTGAATTTTTTTAAAAAATAAAAGACGCAAAGAAAATCAGTTAATTTTCTTCCTTGTAATCTCACCCCAACTGTCAACTCAATCCTTGAAGTTTAAAAACCAGCAACTCATTAAATATTTCGTCAATACAATTGTTGTCTAGTCAACTATCTTTTAAGTGGGTGATGATTATTATAGCAATTTGATTAGCAGTTTTCATAATGGTAATTTACTGTATGTTATGCAAACTGGATCAGACATTTTGCAAATCGTTAACCTCAGTAAAATAAGCTTTTGAGGAAAAACAAGATTCTTGAACTTGCATGTTGACCGCATATATAGAAAATCCGATTCAAGTCATGTCTGAGGATAGTGTCCTTGAGTGTTATTCTGTTACACACAGTAGGATATGGCAACCCTCCAGGATTAAACGAGTCATTTTGAAATAAGAAAAAAAACGCCCGGGGGGGGGGGAGGATAAAAACCCGAAAAAACCAAGGGTTGATTTGGCTTATTGTTGTGCAGGTAAGCGAACACCTCTTCTTATTTATTAGCCCGACCTTACATTTTGGCGTGTATGTATAAATATATATGCTACGTCTGGTGCTTAGTAATTAGGAATTAAATTTGGTTCTAAATATAAGATCTCGATCCACTTTGTTTCTTAAATTTGTAATTCATTCTCTAAAGTATCCTTATTAATTACACATACCAAAGGATTTCCATTCAAGGATAATTATGATTAAAGGAGGTACCCTAGGAAAATCAACTCATATTTATTACAAATAATTAACTTAACTAATTTTCTTAATATACTCTGATTAGTTAAGTGGGGCTAGTAAATATATTGAGGCTTCTTTTAACTTTGAATAACATAGGACTATTCTTTTGACACAGGTGAGAACCAGAATAAAACTATCTAAAACAAGTTTTTAATTAAGATGTTTGGTACAACCATGATAGTTTACTTCTATGTGGTTGCTCAAATAATACTGATTAGGCTTCAATGGATGATCAAAGAAGCACCTCAGTTTTACTCCGTATTAAAGTATTGAGGTCCGATCTCTTGGATTTTAAAAAGACATGAAGCAGCAGCAACTAAAGGCAAGCCCCATTTAATATGATAATTATTTCACCATTGTCAAGAGTAAGAATCCCTCATTTCATCATCAGAGAGCAGCTGGCTCAAATAATGTTCACAAAAAAGTACAACCTTCATCAATCTTTGAGCATTTTAGACATTTATTTGTGTCGACTTTATAAATTTCTACATTATGGGCGCACGTCTTACAGATAATTTGGTAATTAGCAAGTCGGTTGTTCTCTACTTTTGTATTTACTTAGTCAAATGTTGGAAGTTTATTTTCCTGGATTTCTGATCTTAGTTTTTTAACAAGTTTGTTTAAGTACTACTCCCCCAAGTTCTAGATGTATAGGAGTTACTTGATGACTTTGCTTTGATCATATAAATGTAAACCACCTCAGTCTCTTTTAATCTCTCATAATTGTTGAGTCTCTCACAAGGAAGCACTATCCGGTGATAAAAGTGCCGTGCCACGTATGCTCCTTCTTTCCGTTTCAAACAACTTTATTTTGCAGTATCGAGAGTGTTCTGCAAATTACTCCTCCGGTCCTTAATGCAAATGCAAGATCAACTCCACAAGTAAGTCTTATATTGAGGATCGGAAGAGTATATTATAGATTCGAGAGATTAACAATATCCATGTCGATTGATGATTAGACGAAGGGCCTTAGTGCAGAATAAGATAACAGGAATGAAAGGAAAATCATTTATTGTTTAGAAAGCTGGATTGGACAGGCCAATTCTTCATCATGTAAATACCCATAAAAACTGCAAAATATAATATCCTCTCAAACAAATATCCAATACCCAAGGCTGCGACTGGTCACGCACAGATTCGCAGCACTAGAGATTGATCTTCTGGTTTAATCTACATTGCACAAAGCTGACAAATTAAAACGCAAACTGTATATTTATGAAGTAATTTAGATATAAATTACAGGACATCAATATCTGATTCCAACAAGGTGGTTCTCCTTTTTGCTCAGCTTTAGCTCACCATCGCTGCGCGTACGCCCACTTAGGCATGGGGAGGCCAATAATCGTGATAACCGTCATGTTCTACAGATGAGCAAAATGAAGAAGATAGAGTTACAAGTGATCGATCGAAGACTATAAATGAACTCTCTGCGTATTGTAATATCCCAAATTTTATGGATTTGAGTAAAGCATGATGAAGGAAAATTTTTTAGAGAAATTGATGAGATTAAGACCCTTAAAATATGGTCTGAATAATTATAAAGTTAATTTCAAGAATTTAGGACCTATTTCTTGGAAATTCAAGGAAAAATAGTTAGAAGATAATTTTTGAGCTGAGATTTTTAGGAAAATTATTTCATGGACTAAAGAAGCTAATGGAAGAAGAAAATCCATATAAAATATCCAGGTTTGATTTCTGGAATTATCTGATTATCCTGGAAAAATAGAGAAGGATCAAATTGAAGGGAAAATGAAGACCAAAGGGTATAATAGTTATTTCACACCCCCTTACCGACTTATTCTACCTTAATATCTTCTCCCTTCTTATTTTTCCTCTGCCATTCGAAGTGCAAACAGAGGGAGAGCTGAGAGAGTCTGAGAAAGATCAAGAAAGGGAAAGGCTGGTAGAGGAGAGAATCGGTTCGTCTAAAAGTGGAAATCAAACAAGGTGAGTCTCCTGAATCTTCTTCCATCTTTATTTTCTGTTATTTGGTCATGTGTGCAAGACGATGGTGAAGATGAAATCTGGTTTTTGAGGGAGAAAGTGAACAGCATGACAGTTAAGCTGTAGAAACGTGCTTAATGGTTAGGATGAAGGTGTGGTTGAGATTTCTGCACTTGCTTGTCACGGTTGATTGCTCTGGTTAAAGTTTCTGAAACAGGGGTTTGAGTATTTAAGGAAATGGCTTCTGGTTTGGGTAATAGATGATTAACAAGTCTAAATATAATTAATTATTTTCTGGTTGTATGATTATAATATGTTGATTTTATATGCTCTGTGTGGTTATTGAGGGATCGAAGAGTGCGTACTTTGAATAAGAAAAATGTCAGACTTAAGGAGGGAAGGATGCTGTTCGATTTTACTGGTCAAGAAGCACTTGAACGGTGAAAGTATCAGCTCTATATATATATAGAGAGAGAGAGAGAGAACAAAGCCATTTGAGACCGAAGCATGGGGAGAACGAGTTGGGCTCTTTATATATATTCTTTCGGTTTTGGCTCCATGTTCTGAATTATAGTGAACAGATTTTCTTGGAGTTAAAATGGAAAAGAAATGCCAAAATCTAGAATTTTCATAAGCGAAGGAAAATGTTGAGATTGGGAACTAATTAAAGCATGATATGTGTGTATATGTTTGGTGTTTGTCTCAGGAACGTTGATGTTATGATTTGAGGGATGAAACTAAATCTCATGGTATTAATTACATATACCTGATTGATAGGGCAATCTGGAATTTTTGAAGGAAGGGTATAGAGGGTGAATATATATATATATATATATATATAATGAGGAATAAAAATAATGTTTTGGTTGAAGCTTGATGCTGGAAAAAATTTAGAAACAGTGGCAAAATGGTGCTGTTTGAATTATAGATGGTGTTTGGGGTGTTCAAATGCAAAATGTTTAAATAGGGAGTTTATAGGCTTATATAAGTGTTATATTATGAATATGTATGTCAAATAGGAGTCTTAAAAGGATGGAAGTCAAAACGTGATGCCCCGTTAAAATGATCATGAAGGATTTAAATTATAAGGAATGAGTTAATGTGTTAATGTAACGCTTTAGATGAGTATCTAGAGATATATATATATATATATTTATTAATCTGCCCTTACTCAAATAATTTATAGGATTTGATATTTGTTCGAATCCATTAAGAAGGGAGTCAAGGAAGAAGCAAGGGGAAGTTAGTACAGAAGAAAAAGCAAAAGGTAGTAACTCTTTTCCTTTAATGTGATTGTGCATTGATTGCCACATGCTTGGATGTGCCTTTATGCTGATTGTGCATGAGAACATGTAAGTTGCCTTTGCATAATAATATTTGTCATGACAATATGCGCTGGTTTCCATTTATTTTGGAATGTGGGCGCGATAGATAGCGATTAGCTATATTGGTGTATGGTGTATATGCATCATTGATTATACTTGGATGCAAGGTGTTGTTCTCTTTGGCCTGTGTAGCATGTTGTTTGTGATCTTGTATGATTACGTGAGGGAAATTTGTTACTACTGGGATTCTTTAGAATCTCACCCCTTCTTCCATGTAATACAGCAAGAGCAAGTACTCCTAAGGGCAAGGGAGTAGTGATCGGTGGAGATTAAAGGTGCAGGAAGCCGGCAATCATTTGTACATATATTTTGTTTAAAATGCATCTTATTTTGGAGTAAAGATATATATTGTATATCTATTTTGGTATGTAAATATTCCTCCATAAGGAGATGACTAAGGGCAGATAGATCATAATGACTGCTATTGAAGGAAATGGTCAAATTTTTTGATATAATTATTATTTGGCCTAAAATTATGTGTATCTAATTACGTATCTCGTCGTGTGAGCCAATGGCCAGGGTGTCAAATGTTAAACCCTATTGGCTATAGTTGACTTAATTGAGGATTCGAAAGGCCGAATGGAAATAAAAATATATATATATAATTCCCAGGATGAAACCTGGCTTTTAATGGATCATGATTAAATAGAATAATTATACTAGTATATAAGGGATAGGTGTTACACGTATAATTTTCACATGGCAAGTAATAAATGAGGCAGCTAATTATAAGCATCATTAAGGTTAAAATTTAATAAAAATCTCTAATAATAATGGAAAAGATCGATGGGTAAATAATAATCCTTGCCGCGTAAATATCTATACCTGGTGATGGATTTACATAACGGTGATCACCAAGTCGTCGAGCTGATGCTGCCGGGAATTGGAAGGAGAGGAGAAGCACAGAGATCAAAATAAGGTTCCAAGCCAGCTTCTTCATCATCTTCCTCATCTTCTTCTTCCAAAAACACTTATGGAAGCTAAATGTTAAGCTTCGACGATTGACCCTCTTGTACAAGGAAGTACCACCACTTTGTGGCTTTATATATACGTCGACACCCACATACACACAAGAGATATAGAGGATATAAACAGTATGTTTAGATACTTGAAATTTGGTCTGTCTTTTTTAAAATTTTGTTATTATCAAATACTTCTTCTCTGCAGTCCTAAATGTATGAAAAGTAATTAACTAATTTGAAGAAATTAAAAAAATTAATCATATTAGTTATTCATAAAAAACATTGTGTTGGTTTTCCTAAAATAATTTACTCATTTATATTAAGAAAAGAGTAAAATACTCTAACTTCCCTTACATTTTGTCTTAATTACACAAACCTTCCTTTTATTTTAAAAACATACACTTAAATCCAAATTATTAACTCCGTTAAGAATATTTCAAAAAGTATTTTTTTTAATTCAAGCGTATATTGAAATACTTTCTATTTGCTAAAACCCTTCATAATACTAAATTCCAAAATCTTAGTTAAAACTATATCAAAGAATTTAAGATTTTCTCCTTTACCTTAATTTTATTTTTTCTATTTTTAAAAATTATGGTTTGTTTAATGTTTTTATCGTATGGGCCAAAAAATTAAGTAATTTAGTTAATGCAAACATAAATTTAAATGATTTATATAAGTTTCTAAACTCGCAAAATTTATATTATGTGATAAGAAAATAAGCATTCAAAATATTTTCTAGTCATTTAAAAAAAATCTGAAGTTTCAATATTTCATGAGGAACTAAAATTATATAACTCTACAATATAATTGAAATTAAAAATTTTATAACATATTAAAAATTTTGAAAATACATGTATTATAATTTTTTTTGTTGTATCAAAAATTACTTTTTTGATAGATATAAATGTTTAAATAACATTTATATTAAAGAGGGATATTTTGGTCAAAATAGAAATTTAAAAGTCAAACTTAATGGTCAACTAACGGTTTGACGTATGGAAATTGAATCTTAAAAATGTAAGAGAGGTTTGTGTAACATGCATTTTAATTTGAAAGGAAGGTTTCTGTAATTTAAGTAAAATAGAGGGGTAGTCAATGTATTTTATTCTAAAAAAAATACTCCGTCTATAGTAAATCTATTTAATTAGTATAGATCTACTTAGAAAAAGAATAATAACTTTAGGAGACAAAATGAATTACTAAGATCTTATATTTGAGATCAAAACAAATCTTTTTTGATAACTTTTACGTTTAGGACTGAAGGAATTATGATTTTTCAAAAATCATCCAGTAGACTTCAGACTAAATGAGAACCAAGACAAGGATACGGGAAAGAATTGTTAAAGTTAACCAATTTGACTATGAAATTGGGAAAACAGAGTAACTTGTATAGTTCAACAACTACGTCTCTAAAATGGGAATCACATCAAGTTTGAAGGATGATTGATTGATTCAATGAAAAAGTTTTCGTCCTAAAACTATGTTTTTTCAATCATATATTGACAGGGTCTATTGGTTGAAACATTTTATACGCAATATCACTTCATACTGTTTCTGATACTAAATATAATAACTAATTAGATGTTCTAAATATAAAATCTCAATTCATTCTATCTCCCAAATTTATAGCATATTTTAAAAAATATCGCTATTGATTGTAAAGTATTTCCATCCAAGTATAGTTTTAATATACATGATTGAATAAGAGTAATTTAGGAAAGCCAATACATATTTATTACAAATAACTAAATAATTTTTTTAATCTTCCTAAATTAGTTATCCAACTCTTATATTAAAGATCAGATGTAGTATTAATTAATGTACTTGATAGATTCTTGTGTATGTTGGACGTAATCTCTGAGAAATAACCAGGCTATATCCATTACTTGTAAATAGTTCAACATTTTGTAAATTATTTATTGAGTATGACGACGATGGTGCCATTATGATTTCAATCCTATGTGAAGAATAGTCCAAATTCTCATTGACTTCCCCAAGTGAGCAAGGAATTCTTCAAATAATTCAAGTTTAATAAATTTTTATCAGTCGTGCGCTATCTAAACAACCTAAAACAAGTTTGATTTAAACCACGAATCCGATTTTCCTAATTAGTTAAGTCGTCGTAATCACAATCTTATTTTCAAAAGAATTAGGTAAAAGGAATTGATATTCAATTAGTTAAGTCATGTTTGGAAAATTAAAAACTAATTTTGACCAAGTTTTTTTTACACAAATTTTGACCAAGTTTAATCTTTAAATAATTAATCCAATTTCTCTGCTCCTAAAAACAGGCCATTCACTTGCCATGGTAATATGTGAGCGACTGTGTTCAGGTATAACTTTTTTTTCGTTTAGAAGAAAACGAATTGGTAATTTCTATTAGAGACTAGTCATTTTATTGTTATTCTCATATGAAGTGTTGTGACATATAATTAGTAAAAGAGTTAATTATTTTTTATTTTTTTTAATTTTATAATGTTGACAGAACGTGTTAGCTCAATAATAATTCTTAATCTTAGGATGCAAGTGATTAAAGGATCAAATTCCGCTAACACAAAGGGTTTTTATTTTTTCTTTTTAAAAATGAGGATATATTTGTTCTTTTACCTAAATTTCAAAATCTCAATTTAAAATTGATTCCTTCAAATAATATACTAATAATTGTTAATTTTTCCTTTGAATTTTTCTTGGGAAAACTTTTTGCATCAATTTCAAGAATTTGTTAGTAAAAAGTTGTCCGATCATACGTCACTGTCACCAGATGAAAGAGAAAGGTAGCCAATATCTCATACTACCCTGTATTTTTTATAAGAGTTAAATAACTCATTTATAAATATTAAAAATTTAATTTAATTAATTAATTATAATAAATAAATATTTTTTAAAAAATATTTTTATTAATCATATCTATTAGAATAAGATCCTTTAATATAATCATAAGAATTACTTTAAAAAAATAAATATAAGAGACAAATAAGATCTGAATATTATATTTAAAGTCAAATTAAATATCTAATTAGTTCTCATATTTAGGAGCAGAAATAGAATTTTTGACCTATTTAATCTTTTGTTTTATTCTAGATTGAAATAGTCAAAATTTCAATTATTCTCATAAAGTTGAAACTCTATTGTCAACATGATCTTCGGATCGCTCCTACTCTTGCAACTTATACTCCCCAATTATTAGCTTTCAACTGATGAGGCGAGAAGGAGGTTTTAGATACAAAGGTGGCGCTCATCTTTTTCCTTCTTTTTCATTCATTTGATTTCCTTTTCTTTTCTCCAATGCTGCGTTTGTTGTTTTCGAACTCGTCCATTAGGGAAGAAGACAGAAAAATGCAACTTTAACTCCAGAATCCCAAAAACGTCCGGCCAACTTCACAAATCTCGTTTTGGTACCATGAAACCAAATTGGGATTATTTTCTTAGACGAGAAGACCAAACTACCCTCACCTATTACAAAACGTGGGCACCACAATAAGCTCCACATCGAAGGAAGATAGGCGGGAAGGAAAAGAGAGAAACGTGCACATTCCAGCTGCTCGAAGGTGACGAGAAGGTGGTGGTTCGAAAGGGTAAGTGTTTTTCTAAAATCATATGACTGTTTCATCCTCCATGCATGACTGTTGCAGTCTGTTTTCTTCATTTTGGTGGTCCTACATTCTGTATGAGGCGTTGAGGGTTCAGAGGAGGTAAGGGGCGGCATTACATAAGGCGTACGTTCTTCATATTGGGGTGTTGGTTTTTCCTTTTTTAGGTGTGAGAATGGTCATCAATCTAAACAAATGAGTTGATTAGTGTTAGATAAGGTTAGGGTTCTGGCCAAGTTAGTTTTATCAGCTTAAAAGGGAGACGATGCTGCAGCAATCGTAAGTTGATTCATCTGGGGGTATTGGTTGTTGTTTTTAACTTTTGGGAATGGTTAGATATTGGAACTTATGAGTCGGTTAGTGAGGGATAGAGTTAGCTTAATCTGGGACAGTGTTTATAATGATCTGTTTTTGGGGATAGCAGATGGTAGCTGAGGGAAATTGGAAGAAGCGCTGCGATAATCACATATATAAGTAGGCTGAATATCCATAGTAATGAGGTTGTGAAGGGTGTTGTTAATAGTTAAAGTGGAGTTGTGAAACGATATATTGAAGTTGTTAACTTTGAAAGTGGCTGTGTTGGGTTTATGAAATATCCTTTTTACAGATATGACATTGTGATGAAATATTTTCCTCGTTTGTTGTGGGGTATAATGCAAAATGAGTTGCAATATTGGGTCAACATATTCAAAGACACTTGCGTTGATTTTTCATCTTGGTGGAAACTTTGTTAATAATGTTGAAGGTGAAATGATATATAATGGTGGGAGTGTGAGAGTTAGAACGATAAAACAGGGGATAAGACATGAAGAGTTGAGGTTAATGATATTAGAATGGTTTGATATAGATGTTAATATTTGTGACATGAAATATACAGTGAGCTTCGATGACAAGGCATTAGTAGATTTGGTTGATGATAGTGAAGTTGATAATCTTTTCCAATATAATGACACCAGTGCACATGTGTATCTAGCATTGAAGGAGAGTACATCGAAAGTAATGGATGATCCACAAATGTGAGACCTGTTTTTTTATGGTTATTACAATTGTTATTTGTTATATTGTTGTTGTGAATTTCCTAACAAAAGTTGTAATTATGTATGCAGCATTGACAACTACTTGGGATTGTCACAACAAATGTGTTTTTTGTCAAGTAGGGAGAATAATATGGACGGAACAGTTTGTGACGAAAATGAGGGTGATTGTGTAAGAGAAGGTGGTAGGGGATGTCATGTGAGGCTAGTAAGTACAGTAGAGATTGCACCAACACCAATGCCCGAGATGAATGCTGTGAAGTAGAAGGAATTGTTGTTAGGAAAGAAGCAAACTTTTGCAAATGCCACATAATTCAGAAAGGCAGTATATAAGTTTAGTATTGCAGAAAACTTTGAGTACAA